ATTTCTTGGTTGCAGCCGTCATTGTTGTTCGGCGGGTCCGGGCTGAGGACCCGAACCCGCCACCTTAGGTGTACGTGGCTGGCGCCCCAGCCCGTCGAGCTATAGGCGCCAAGCCTCCCTACCCTTTTGAGCTATAGCCATCGCCCAGAATATTGTCTTATTTGGAAACAGGGTCATTGCAGATGTAATTGGTTAAGATGATGTCATTGGGGTGGGTGGGCCTTTATCCCAACATTACTGGTGTCCTTATAAAAAGGGGAAATTTGGACATAGACACATGCTGGGGGACAGTGCTGAGTGAAGATGAAGCAGAGATTAGGGTGATGCAGACCCAGAAGCCAGGAGCGAGGTCTGGAATGACCTTCCCAGCTCTGCTGACATCCTGATTTTAAATGTCCAGAACCATGCTAGAGTAACTATCTGTTGTCTGAGCCATGAGTCTGTGACACTTTGTGATGGCAGCAGTGAGAGGCAGAGTCAGGCAAACATGAGGACGCTGAGTTTTGAGAGGGCCTGGGGAGGGGTATGCCTGGGAGGGATGGTCTTGAGTCTGCTTTAATTCTGTAAGCCAGGGCTGACTAGACAGGAGATTCTGGTCGCTTCTCCTGTGTTCCACAGATACTGGACACCATCTTCTGGGCACTGAGCTGGCCTTCCTGAAGCAGGGCTGGGACCCAGCAATAAGTCAGAACCTCCTTCCTTTGGGAAATTTGAGCCAGTTTGAGCTCATATTTTTGGAGATTTTTAGTACTAAGGCTATGGCTCTTACGGGTATTTTGTGTGTATATAATATATATTTTTTATATATACATAAAAGGGTGTTTCCTGAGGTGTGAAGAATGAAGGCCCCAACTTGGGTTATCGTACCTGGATTTTCAGTTTGGGAGAGAAAGTTGCTTTTACTGCTGCTGTGTATTTTCATTGCTCCTGGGATGTTCTGGTTGCTGTGAGTAGGGCTCTGCTTGGAAGCCCGTGTCCATTTGTGGCAGTGCTTGGCTGTGAACCTGGAAACATGCTTCAGATGCCCCTCCTCAGGCACATGTTTTGTGCCCTGTGGCACTTGGCCACTGTGCTGTGGATACAGGAATAGGTCCTGCCTCTGCACACCTGTGCACCCACTGGGTGTGCAGTGGCTCCTGTAACAGCACCTCTCCACATAGTACACCTATCCCCTCGGGCCTGCACAGGGCCAGGGGGGTAGGCGCCACCCTTTTCCTGCTCGCCCTACCCCACACGGCTGCTGTGTGCGGCCTCTGCCTGTGTGGCTCAGTGTGACCCTTTCATTCTCACCCCACAGAGTCCATAGAGGAGGCGACACCAGGACTTCCAAATGAACAACCGAAAGGAAGATATGGAGATCACATCCCACTACCGCCACCTGCTCCGTGAGCTGGATGAGCAGAGGCAGCATGGCGTGCTGTGTGATGTCTGTGTCGTCGTGGAGGGCAAGGTCTTCCGGGCGCACAAGAATGTCCTGCTCGGCAGTAGCCGCTACTTCAAGACGCTCTACTGCCAAGTCCAGAAGACTTCCGATCAGGCCACTGTCACTCACCTAGACATCGTCACAGCCCAGGGCTTCAAGGCCATCATTGACTTCATGTACTCCGCCCACCTGGCCCTAACCAGCAGAAATGTCATTGAGGTGATGTCCGCTGCCAGCTTTCTGCAGATGACGGACATCGTGCAGGCATGCCACGACTTCATCAAGGCTGCACTGGACATCAGCATCAAGTCGGATGCCTCCGATGAGCTTGCAGAGTTTGAGATGGGTGCCCCGGCTGGTGGCAGCACAGAAGCACTGATCTCTGCTGTGATGGCGGGAAGGAGCATCTCCCCATGGCTGGCTCGGCGAACCAGTCCTGCCAATTCCTCTGGAGACTCGGCCATTGCCAGCTGCCACGAAGGGGGTAGCAGCTGCGGGAAGGAAGACCCAGAGCCCAAGGCTGACGGCTCCGACGACATTTCTTCACAGCCCCTGTGGGCTGGAGATGTGGGCTTTGGGCCTTTGCACATCAAGGAAGAGCAGATTTCGCCACCTCAGTATGGAGGCAGTGAGCTACCCTCTGCCAAGGATAGCACAGTGCAGAACTCCTTCTCAGAGCAGGGTTCTGGGGATGGCTGGCAGCCCACAGGCCGCAGGAAGAATCGGAAAAACAAAGAGACTGTCCGGCACATCACGCAGCAGGTGGAGGATGACAGCCGGGCCAGCTCCCCAGGGTGCCCCTTCCTCCCGACGCCAGGCTGGCCCTTCAGTAGCCGAGACCTGAGTAAGCTTTTTGTTTATTGCAGGCGGGTTCAGCTGCCCCAGGGCCATGTTTTGGTGGCCTTTGGCTGTTCATTTTGTGGCAGAAGCAGTGTATTTCCAGGCCCTGTGTGTCTGTCCCCATTAGCACAGCACTGGTGTAACTGACACACAGCTCCTCAGGGGCTCCGGCAAAGTGAAGAGGCCTATGGTGGCAGCTGGGGTCTCCTTTGGCTCCTGTGGGTGAGGGTTGGCAATGGGCTTCTTCCTATGCATGTGGGGACCTCCTGTGGGACAGACTGGGATGTAGGTACCAGGTGGCTTTTAACCCTAGACAGCCTACCCCTTGGGCTTGGGGTATTGGCCATCGCTGTTGTAGTGGATATTGAAGGAAAACATCACACAAACACATCTTGTCCTTGAACCCTCAGCCTGTTTTGGCATGGTGTTATCACCACACAGCAGGTGGGACATGTGTGGGACATGGGTAGGGGGTCAGTTCAGAGGAAGTCACTCTGTGAAGCTGCCTTTGCAAGTGAGGCTCTAGTGGTTTGAACCAACAGATGGGTGTTTCTTCTTACAGCTGTGAGTGTGTCTGCACAAGGTGGAAGGTCTCTTCCTGGGTCAGGTGGAAGGTCTCTTCCCGGGTCCATAAACAATTTCCTATGTTTGTTTCAAGAGCTCTGAGCCTAGCTTTGTCAAAGCTGGCCCTCACACCTGAGTTATAGTTTCTTCTGTCACCCAGATGAGTAAATAGTCAGATGTTCACTGGGTTCCAGGCACCACTTCTGGTTCTGAGCTTATATCCCCCGCTGCCGGCAGGTGCATGGAGGATGCCCTCCCTGACTGCATGCTATATCTCCGGTCAGGGAAGGTTATTCGGAGCCAGGTGCAGTGGTGGCACTTTCAGTCCCAGCCACTGGGGCGGGGGAAATGCAGGACTGCCTGAGCCCCAGAGTTTGAGGCTACACTGAGCTGTGATGGAGCCCGGGAATACTGCACTCTGCTAGGGCAGCAAAGTAAGACTCTATCTCTGAAAAAAGGGGTATTGGATCAGAGCAGGGTGGGGGCTTCTGGGCATGTGCTGGCTGTGGGGAGGCCCTTCCAGGATGAAGGGCAGAAGTCAGCCTGGGGCACATCATGAGCAGTGCACAGGAGACAGCAAACCCTCAGGCCCTAAGCCCCAGGAAATGGCGCAAACACTGGGTGTGCGTTCAGGTGGCCTGCTCCCTGCCTCTTGGGCAGGCAGTGTAGGGGCCCCTCCTCTTCCCAAGCTGGGAGTGGGAGGGCAAGAAGGGAACTCTCAGGGCTGCAAGCTGGAAGGTAAAGCCAGCCCAGGTGTACTGTAGCTTTCCTTATTGTGATAAAATATGCATGACATAGAGTTTACCATTCTGGCCATTTTTAAGTGTGCAGTTAACTGACGTTAAACCTTTAAGGATAGGGATATGTTCTCAGAAACATGTAATTAGGCAATTTGGTTGTGCAAACATCACAGACACACCCACACAAAGCTGGGTGGTCTGACTGCTGCTCCCATGGACTGTGTGTGTGCACCTGCTGCTGCCCTGGGCTGTGTGTGCACCTGCTGCTCCCCTGGGCTGTGTGTGCACCTGCTGTTCCCCTGGCCTACCCCTGGTCTTTGTGTGCACCTGCTGTTCCCCTGGGCTGTGTGGTGGGGCTGCTGCTCCCCTGGGCTGTCTGTGCACCTACTGCTCCCCTGGGCTGTGTGTGTACCTGCTGCTCTACTGGGCTGTGTATGCACCTGCTGCTCCCCTGGGCTGTGTGTGTACCTGCTGCTCCCCTGGGCTGTGTGTGTACCTGCTACTCCCCCTGGGCTGTGTGTGTACCTGCTCCTCCCCTGGGCTGTGTGTGCACTTGCTGCTCTTGGCTACAAATCTGCACAGCTGCAACGCTTCTGAATGCCACAGGCAGCTGCAGCACAAGGGTGTTTGTGTATCCAAACAACCAAAACATAAGGCTAAGTTCTTTTGTCTCTAAACATATCTAAATGTAGAGAAGGTGGTGCCTCACGCCTATTGTCCCAGCTACTCTGGAGGCTGAGGTGGGAGGATTGCTTGAGCTCAGAAGTTTGAGACCAGCCTCCTTAAGTTAGTGACACACTGTCTCTCAAAAAACAAAAGATGATAAAAAATGTAAAAAATGGGTGGTGCCTGTGGCTCAGTGGGAGGGCACTGGCCCCAAATACTGAAGGTGGTGGGTTCAAACCTGGCCCTGGCCAAACTGCAACAAAAAAAATAGCCAGGCATTGTGATGGACGCCTGTAGTCCCAGCTACTTGGGAGGCTGAGGCAAGAGAATTGCTTAACCCCAAGAGTTTGAGGTTGCTGTGGGCTGTGATACCACAGCACTTTACCAGGGGTAACATAGTGAGACTTGGTCTCAAAAAAAAAAATTGTAAAAAATGGGACACTTGTATGAGCACTTTTCATAACTGGAGTTGCTCTGGGAGAGTCAGTGCATGGTGAATGGTATGCACCATGTAGATTTTGTAAACATTCTACATTTAGGCTTTGCAGAATCTATTTTAAAAATTGTGCTAGGACATTATGACAACTACAGTGTCATTAGGGATGGGAATTTTTCAGCTCCATTAAATCTCATGGGACTACTGTTGTGTATTCAGTTGTCACTGACCAAAACATTGTGATAGGGCACAGACCATATTCAGGCTGCTGTGCAACCATCTTACTATCTATTTCCAGAACTTTCTCATGATTCCAAACTGAAACTCTGTATCCATTAAACAGTAAGTCCCTTTTCCTCCTTCCCCACCTTAGAGTAACCAGGTAGTGGCCATTCTAGATGACACACTGTAGCTTCTGCTGCTCATCTTGATTCTAGTTGTTGCTGGGTGTCCCTGTAGGGTCAGACTCCTGGCTATGAAGAAACTACTGGTTTAACTCAGGGGTACTCGACCTGGGGCTGGGTGCTCGTTTGCAGCACCTTGGCCCCATCCACTATATGCTGTAGCACCTGCCCCAGATCCCCTACACCCGACACAGCAACCAAAAATGTCTCCAGACATTGCCACACATCCCCTGGGTCCCCTGCCCCAAGAATTATTGGAGTTTAATTGAGCAAATCAGAAGGACATTACATTTCTGAGCTGGTAGAAGGATGGTTCATTTCCTGGCAGGTGGGGAGCATGGCCTTCTGCCTGCTCCTGACTATAATCTCCCACTAGTTCCAACTGAAACATGAGAAGCAGCAGGCCCTAGTGAATGACAGGGCTTTGTGTGAAATGTTCTGATGTTCACAGCTGCGCTGCAGGGCCCACTGTCCAGGCCTTGGGGCTTCATCCCTGGTCCCAGGACACCTGGCTATGCAGGCCTTAAGTCACCCTTGGGTGATCTGCTGGAGGCCTTTATATTACCAGAGTTGATCATGGTTTTAAGAAATAGTGCTCTCCATAAGCCTGTGGGTTGGATGTTTTAAATGCAGTTGTCGAGCAGAAGGTGTTTTTAGGATCCAACAAGTGACTTTGGCTGTGTACTTTTGTTAAAGTCTGAAATCCCTTCAGTTACCAAGGCAACATGCAACTCTTCCGTCAGATCAGTCTGAGTTGCTAAGACAGGACATGAGGCTGTGGGCTTGTGCGTGGGATAGTTCTGTCCATGTTATGGTGGCCAGTTGTGCCTTGAGCCTCAAGCCATCTTCCTCCACCCCTGGCCCTTGGGCTAAGATTTGGAAGCATAAATTCTGATGTCTGATAGAGGTAATTTTGTTTATGTCAAAGATTCATTACATCTTAGAGAAGATGTATTCTTATTCCATCTATAGGAGAAAAGCCTTTTTGTAAAGAAATGTATCCGGTGGTGACTGTGGCCCATTGGGGCACTTGATACAGAGGCTGGGTGGCCAGTCCCACAGCTTGGCATCTGTCCTCCCAGGCCTCTTCCCTGCCTCTTGGTGACCTGTTAGCAAGCCAAATGCATTCTAACCCAGCCTCTTCCAGGACACAGTGTGCATTGAAATGTACTTCTGAGCTACAGTGGCTCATCTTGGTGAGAGCTTGTGGGAAATGGCATTAGCAGGAGTGGATCTGTATGTGATGCATAGGCAGGCCATGGTCAGGCTGTGGGCCTCCTGGCTCTGGCCTCATCTTCTGCAGAGGGAGTCCAGTAAGACTTTGACAAAGTGGATTCGAAGTTACTAGTTCAGAAGCTGGTAAAAGGACAGCCCAGGTGCCCCAACCAGATGTCCCATACACGTTCCTAAAGGCTTCAGCAGCAGTAGAATATGGGGGCTTTGTAAATGTGCTTGACTTTGGTGAGGTTGGAACTTGACACATTGGGTTTTTTTTTTTTTTTTGAGACAGAGCCTCAAGCTGTCCCCCTGGGTAGAGTGCCATGGCATTACAGCTCACAGCAACCTCCAACTCCTGGGCTCAAGCGAGTCTCCTGCCTCCGCCTCCCAAGTAGCTGGGACCACAGGCGCCCGCCACAACGCCCGGCTTTTTTTGGTTGCAGCCGTCATTGTTGTTTGGCGGGTCCGGGCTGGGGATTCGAACCCGCCACCTTAGGTGTACGTGGCTGGCGCCTTAGCCGGTTGAGCTATAGGCGCCGAGCCGACACATTGGGGTTTTTAAGAACACACCAGAACTATAGAGCAGCTCTGGGGCTAGGAAAACAATGGTCTGTGCAGGTCCAGCGTGGGCTGGAGGCCTGAAGCCTCCTTCCTGCCTGGGGTGGGAGCCGTGTTGCCCTGCCCACTTTGAAGATGGGTTCCCCAGCTAGCTGCTTCCTGTATGGCTCTGCCAACTTCTCCCCCAGCCCTTGCCCTTGCCCCTGCCCCTCCCCCATTCCTGCCCCTGCCTCTCCCCCTGTCCCTGCCCCTCCACCATTCCTGCTCCTCCCCGTCCCTGCCCCTACCCCGTCCCTACCTCTACACCATCCCTACCTCTACTCCTATCCCTGCCTCTCCCTCATCCCTGCCCCTATCCAGTCCCTGACCCTGCTCTGCCCCTGCTGAAGCCCAGACTTTCTCTACCTTTGCATCAAGA